CGGGAACCTCCACTCTTGTATCATGTTGGTGAGTATGTATAATTGGTACAACCTTTTTGGAGAACAATTTGACAACACATACGAAAGCCTTAACATTCTGCATATACTTTTTTTTTTTTGTAAAGATTTTATTTATTTATTTGACAGAGACATAGAGAGCACAGATAGGCAGAGCGGCAGGCAGAGCGAGAGGGAGAAGCAGGCTCTCCGCGGACCAGGGAGCCCGACGCGGGGCTCGATCCCGGGACCCTGGGATCATGACCCGAGCCGAAGGCAGCCGCCCAACCGACTGAGCCACCCAGGCGCCCCTCTGCATATACTTTTAATCACCAATTCTATTTCTAGGAGTTTATCCTAAGGAAATTATTGGAAATAAGTACAAAAATCTCATACTGCAAGATGTTTATTACAACACTGTTTAAAAGAGCAAAAAAAATATTGACTGGTTAAATAATGGTATATCCATTCAATTGATTACTGTATTTCCAGGAAAATAAAATGGTATAAAGTTATTAAAAGTGATACAAAAGAAGAACATTTACTGACAAGAAAAAAAGTTCATTTTATTAAGTAAAAAGAATCAGATCACAAAAAAGAGATGATGATCTCATTTGTTTAAAAAAATTCTTTTTATAAGAAGACTCTAAGACCATACATCACAATATTAAAAGTTATCTAGGTGATGAGATTATCATGATATTCTTTTGATTTATCAGTATTTTCTAAATTTTCTAAAATGAGCATGATTATAATAAACATGATTTTTCTTTTGTACTAAGGGAAGAATTTTTGGTTCACGTGTTATAAAATATTGTTGTTTTGAGGGGCACTGGGTGGCACAATTGGTTAAGCGGCTGGCTCTTGGTTTCGGCTCAGGTCATGATCTCAGGGTCACGAGATCGAGCCCTGCGACAGGCTCAGTGCTCAGCATGGAGTCTGCTTAAATTTCTCTCTCCCTCTGCCTCTGGCCCTCCTCCCACACTTGCACGTGCATGTGTGCACTCTCTCTAAAACAAATAAATAAACCTTTTAAAAGAATTGTTGTTTTGAATCTCAATCTCTCTAAAATGCAAAAATATTAGAATCTCCAAATGCTATGTTGGCTAAATCTAATTGTGGGAGAGAAGTTTATTTAGCATTTCTTAATAATTAACTCGAGGAGCTAACAGTACCATTTAGCTACATATTAAGAAGAGTGGGGGCGGGAAAAGGAAGAGTGAACTCTTGAAACAAGTTACATAGGCCCAGGTCTCTCTGTAGGAAGGTGAAAAGTATTTTATGACCAGTAAAGGGGATATTCACATAATATATATATATGTTACTATTTCCCAACTCCTAAATCTCTTGAATTGTTATACACAGACGACACCCTCACCCAAACTATAATAATCTTATACAAGCAAAAGAAATTTTTGTTTGCTATTTGAGAATTTTCTGAGAACTGCTAGAGAGAGAGATGTTTCTGTATAAGTGACCCTATTTGGCACTGTTGGAAGCCTCTGCCATCCAAGGACAGTATCTTGTTTTTTGGTACGTCTAATGAAGAGCCACAAACCAATCTGCTTACTGTTCACTTGTGAGATACATTACTTGTCATTTCTGATTAATAATTCAAGTCTGAAGATGCCTCCATATCGCTGCCTCCCCTTCCAATGTATTTAATCCTTTCACTATTAAGATGACATTTTTATAACCATGTGAAGTAAAAGCTGTCTGTAACTAGCTGGAGGCTGTATGTAGCAAGCCTTCACTCTGTGTGTCATTTTGAACTGGGACACGATGCTAGTTTCCTCATTTACTTTGACATGTGCTCAAGAGAAATTTAGCTAAGAAGCTTTGCTTTAATAAACAACAGCCACCTTTGCCATATAGGCTATATCCTTCTAGCTGGTCTTTTTTCCTCCACACACTTGGTTCTTTTGAAGCATTCTCTCAGCAGATAACTATATATATATATATATATATGTATTTTTTTTTTTTAAGATTTATTTATTTAGGGGCACCTGGGTGGCTCAGTCGTTAAGCGTCTGCCTTTGGCTTGGGTCATGATCCCAGAGTCCTGGGATCGAGCCCCGCATCGGGTTCCCTGCTCCGCGGGAAGCCTGCTTCTCCCTCTCCCACTCCCCCTGCTCGTGTTCCCTCTCTCGCTGTGTCTCTCTGTCAAATAAATAAATAAAATCTTTAAAAAAAGAGATTTATTTATTTATTCTTATTTGGGGGGGAGGGGCAGAGGGAGAGAGAGAATATCAAGCAGACTCCCACCTGAGCGGGGAGCCTGACACGGGGCTCGATCCCCCAACTCTGAGATCATGACCTGAGCTGAAATCAAGAGTCAGATGCTTAACCCAGGTGCCGTACTCTCCAAGCTTTTTTTTTTTTTTTAAAGATTTTATTTATTTATTTGAGAGAGAGAATGAGAGAGAGAGAGAGCACGAGACGGGGAAGGGTCAGAGGGAGAAGCAGACTCTCTGCTGAGCAGGGAGCCCGATGTGGGACTCGATCCCAGGACTCCAGGATCATGACCTGCGCCGAAGCCAGTCGCTTAACCAACTGAGCCACCCAGGCACCCCTGTCCAAGCATTTTTAAAACTGCAAATCTGATCTTGTAATTTCTCTTGCTTAAACTTCTTGCTTTTACAATAAGATCCAAAATCCTTAACATGGCTTACAAAGCACTGGAGGATATAGACCTACCTCTCCAGTTTTATCTTATGTCACCTCCAACCACTAACATTTCCGCTCAAACCCATGCTTCTCCTCATTTCAGGTCTGGCAAATGTGGTTTGCTCCCCCTGAATTGTTCTTCTATCTTAGAACTCAGGTGATGCTTATTCATCTTTAAGATCTCAGCTCAAATGTCACTTCCTCAGGGAAGCCTGCCCTGACCATCCTCATTAGGTCAGTTTCCTGGTTTATGCTTTTACAACAGCTCCCTATTCCTCTATTTTTATCGTTTAATTTAGAATTACACGTGTGTAAATTATATATCAACGGCTAGTTTCTGGCTGCAAACTGTAAATCCATGAAGGCAGGCTCTATGCCTGTCTTGCTTACTACTGTCACGTCAGTCCTTAATTAGCACAGTTCTTGACTCAAATGTATACACTGAGATGATTTATAGAGGATGTGATCAATTGAACTGATACAAGGATAAATGAATGTTTTTGACATGCTTTCTTCATCTTTTTTTTTTTAAGATTTTATTTATTTGAGGGGCACCTGGGTGGCTCAGTTGAAGTGTCTGCCTTCGGCTCAGGTCATGATCTCAGGGTCCTGGGATCGAGCCCCGAGTTGGGCTCCATGCTCAGTGGTGAGTCTGCTTCTCCCTCTCCTGCCCATTCCCCACCCCCACCACTTATGCTCTCTCTCTCTAATAAATAAAATCTTGTTGAAACAGGAGAATAAGTTCACATTCTTGAGATGCAAAGATCTATGAAGAACCAGTTGGTTAAAATCTTGGCTCTCATTTGCTGGACAATTTAATATCTTTGAGTCTAAACTTCCTCATTTATAAAACAGAATAACATGAGTCCTTCCTACCTCATATAATTACTATGTTTTACAGTTCGCCACTCTTCATGCATGAAAAAGGCATGAAAAAGAATGGCAAGCTATAAACACTAAATAAATGTTTATCTAATAAGTATAGCTGTTACTGAGCAAATGAAGCAATGGAAAGGCATATACTTGCCTTTGATTAAGTATTACACTCGTTTTTCATTATATGAATATAAACAGGATAGAAAGTCCAGAATGAAAATGTTTAGAGATAAACCTGAATCAAGTAACGAGTTTCCTAAAGTTTGCTATTACTTAACGTTCTTTTACAGAAGAAAGAAAAGGATGAAAGACCTTTTTTTCTTTACTCTTTCTTTCTTTTTTTGTTTGACAATTTTTTTTTTTTTTTAAAGTAGGCTCCATGTCCAGCATGGAGCCCAATGTGGGGCTTGAACTTACAACCCTGACATTAAGACCTGAGTTGAGATCAAAAGTCAGACGCTTAACCCACTGAGCCAAGACACCTTGATAAACATTTTTCTAATGCTAGAGAAATATATCACAAAATGGAATAAATCCTATCCAGCTAAAGCTCTGGATAATAATAATGATGACAAAATGATAACAATTAGTATTTACTAAGTCATATACAGGGAATTCTTCTACATATACATATATAAACACTCATTTAATTCTCTTAATAACTGTATTGGTAGATTGCAGGCAGGGAAATGAGACATAAAGAGGTTAGACAATTTGTCCAAGATTACAAACCAGGTATGTGGCAGAAAAGAGATTTAAACTCAGGCAATCTGGCCCCAGAATCTACACTGGTCTCTTTTTAATTTGGTACCTTAAACTTTGCTTCCACTCAGCTTTTTATTTCTCAAGTTCTCCATACTCACAAAATACTGTTAAGTTAAATATTCATCTACCAAGTTCAAAAGAAAGCAAGTTCCAAAACTGAGGGGCAGAAATGCAGCAAATGAAGAATTTAAGGCTTTACTATCATAGACTTAAGATCAATTATATTCCCTTTTTTTTTTTTTAAAGATTTTATTTATTCATTTGACAGAGATAGATACAGCGAGAGAGGGAACACAAGCAGGGGGAGTGGGAGAGGGAGAAGCAGGCCTCCCACCGAGCAGGGAGCCCGATGCAGGGCTCGACCCCAGGACCCTGGGATCATGACCTGAGCCGAAGGCAGACGCTTAACGACTGAGCCATCCAGGTGCCCCTATATTCCCTTTTCTTCAAAAAGATTTCATTTATTTATTTGAGAGAGAGGGTGAATGAGAAGGAGAGGGAGAGAGAATGTGACGCAGACTCCACACTGAGCACAGAGCCTGATACTGGGCTCGACACTACAACCTCAAGATCATGACCTGAGACGAAACCAAGACAGACACTTAACCTACTGAGCCACCCAGGTGCCGCTTCCCTTTCTTTTTAGACTCTAATTACATTCTGATTTTAGAAGAGACAGTTAAAATAAAAATATTTTAGTTATATGCACTGACCAGGATATGATCCACTCGATCTCTTTTCTTTCTTCCAAATTTCATCATTTTCTGCCAATCTGTTTTGTGGTTTGGTTCCTTTTTAAGACTAAACAACTTGAGTACTTCTGTGGCTATGAAGTTCTGTGAAAATAAGAGGAGGGAATGAAACACAAACAACCAAGTTCCTGAGATTTAGTGCTTACAATGCAGATTTATGCTAATAATATGGTATTTATAATAAAAGATCATACGAATTTCTTCCACTTACAGTTCCACTTAGCATTTTGAAGACAAAAGCATTCCAAATGCTCAGACTTTATTCACTTAAAGAATTTTTGTTTTTACACAACACACAAAAGTAAAACCCACTGATGAATCTGCAAAGAAAAATCACTTTAGAGTCCCCTCTACCCAAGAACCACCGTCAGCTAACTTCAAGCTGGCAAAACTACTAAAGGAAGCATAAAATAAATCTCTGCATCTGAAAAATCCCATATAAATGTTGGAAGCAATGCCATGTGAGCCAAGTACAGGCTTTGGCTAGGACAGTTTATTTTGAAGCACCATGACTGAATATATTTAATTAAAAAATATTAATCAACACTTCAGTATAAAAACCATGATAATTTTATTAATAATATTTAAACTATTACCCTTAAAAAAAACTTTACAAAATGCTATTTCAGTATTGAAATTGGTGGGTAGCATCATTGTGTGTTATATTGATATATGCATTCTGATGATTGTTGATATATATTATGTGTCTTGTCTTATTTCAACCTATTCTTTGCTATTAATAAAGTAAGTTGGGTTTTTACTACTTTTTATGGTTGTTCTGTTAAAAAACAATGTAGTGATCTGAAGGGGTACGTGCACCCCAATGTTTATAGCAGCAATGTCCACAATAGCCAAACTATGGAAAGAACCAAGATGTCCATCACCAGATGAATGGATAAAGAAGATGTGGTATATATATACAATGGAATATTATGCAGCCATCAAAAAACCCCTGAAATCTTGCCATTTGCAGCACCATGGATGGACCTGGAGGGTATTATGCTAAGCGAAATAAGTCAATCAGAGAAAGACATGTATCATATGATCTCACTGATATGAGGAATTCTTAATCTCAGGAAACAAACTGAGGGTTGCTGGAGTGGTGAGGGGTGGGAGGGATGGGGTGGCTGGGTGACAGACACTGGGGAGGGTATATGCTATGGTGAGCGCTGTGAATTGTGCAAGACTGTTGAATCACAGATCTGTACCTCTGAAAATAATACAATATATGTTAAAAAAAAAAAAAAAAAAGAAGATAGCAGGGGGAAAAATGAAGGGGGGGAAATCGGAGGGGGAGACGAACCATGAGAGACTATGGATTCTGAGAAACAAACTGAGGGTTCTAGAGGGGAGGGGGTGGGGGGATGGGCTAGCCTGTTTATTAAAGAGGGCACGTATTGAATGGAGCACTGGGTGTTATACGCAAACAATGAATCATGGAACACTACAAAAACTAATGATGTAATGTATGGTGATTAACATAACATAATAAAATAAAATTAAACAAACAAAAAAGCAATGTTCTTAATGGGGGAAAAGATACATTTATGAATCAGAATCATTTGAGAAGATTTTCAAACCATTATGTCCCCAAACTCTACCCCCACACTCTCTCTCTCTCTCTCAAGGATGTATCAACTTTGGAGGGCTGAAAGAAATGGAGTACACCTGTGTTTTGAAAAAGCTCCCCGGTTGGTTCTGATACTCTATTCTTCAAAGTTGAAAATCATTTTAAAGTTGTTTTTTCTTTTAATGAATCAAATTAATCTCTGAAAACTTTTTTTTTTTTTGGCACTACTTACTTCAATTTAAGCAGGGGTCTGCAAACTTCAGTAAAGGGCCAAACTATAACAATTTTAGGCTTTGTGGGCCATGTGGTCTCTGTCACAACTACTCAACTCTGCTGTTATAGCAGGAAGGCAGCCATAGACAATATTTAAACAAATGGGTGTGGCTGTGGTCCAATAAAACTTCATTTATAAAAACAGGTGGTAGGCTGCATTTGGCCTGTGGGCCACAGTTTGCCTAACTTCGATATAAGCATACACTGCATCTCATAGACATCTGTTGGCGTTCTAGGAGTACAAAATATTTTCAAAAGCTCTCTATAGTTAATACTGTATTGTATATTTCAAAGTTGCTGAGAGCAGATCTTAAAATTTTTCATCATACAAAAAAATTTGTAACTATATGTGATGATGGATGTTAACTAGACTTGTGATCTTTTCACAATATATACAAATATTGAATCATTATGTTGTACACCTGAAACTAATATAATGTTGTATGTTAACTATATTTTAATAAAAAAAGACTAAATTGTTTAGGCAATGCCTCCACATTATATACCAGAATATTGTATATGTTCTTTACTGTATTTTAATAGTCCACATACACTCCTCGATGACTGTAAGAAAATACACCAGTAAGATGAGCACAGTTGACCCCTGAACAACATGGGTTTGAACTGTGTGGGTCCACTTATACACGGATTTTTTTCAATGAATACACAACAGTACATAAATGTATTTTCTCTTAAGATTTTCTTAATAACATTTCTTTTCTCTAGCTTACTTTATTGTAAGAATACAGTATATAATACATATAACATACAAAATATGTGTTAACTATGTTATCCACAAGCTTTCTGGTAGGCTATTAGTATCTAAAGATTTTCAGTTGAGTAGGGGGTTGGCATCCCTAACTGCCAACAACGTTCAAAGATCAACTATAGTTGGAGGTATGCTATCTGTGGGAAAAATTAGCTTTCTATGATCAAATAGTCTGGAAAACACAACTCCAGAGCCTTGCTACTCAGAGTGGTTCTAGGGTCAATAGCATCCTCATCACTAAGGAGCCTGTTAAAAATGCAGAATCTCAGGTCCTACTCCAGACCTGTAACAATCTCCATCTTAACAAAATCCCCAGATGATTCATATTCACTACATTACAGTTTGAGAGGTACTGCACTGGAAATATAACCTTTGCTATATTAAAGAAACATGTGAACAGGCAGAGATTTCCACCAACGTGACGGAAGTTTTGTTGGGAGTCACTGTAGCCTCAGGGCACTTAATCTTTTCAGAGCCTTCTTAGATAACAAATAATATATTTTATATATCATATTACTATCTCATACTTCAAAACCACATTACTAATTTGAAACCTGCAAAATCAAAGATGAAAAGGTTAACACCTGTCTTGGGCTGGCATGTTTGATAGATGACATGTTTTCAGGTGTACTTCTAGAATACCTATCTCTAAATTGCCAAAAATTTATCTAAAACTCCAATGAATCGCAGTAATTTATCTTCCTATTTCCTAATTTTTTCTTAAGTATTATAGTTATGTATATATAGGAAATGACTGTTAAAATTATGCTTTGCAAAATCCTGAGGATTTAGGATTCCGTCTCCCCCATCCCTCCACTGCTCATGGGTTCAGTGACTCAACATTTATTGAATACCCACTATGTGACAGGCCTTGAGGACAGAGGGTGAATAATACAGAAGAGTACCTGCTTTTATGGCATTTATAGATCTGCATAAATGAACAGCAAGTCAAAAAAGGAGCTACTCTCTAGTTTGCAGTTTACCTTGATTTCATCAAGGTTATTTGGATTTTTCACTCGTCGGAAATAACTGGAGTTGATTCTACATGGCTTCATCCAGACAGGCTGATTTAAGTTGGGATCCTCTGCAAATATTTCCTCAAAAATCTCTTTTGTTAAATCAAAAACCGCCTTGATAGAGAAAAACAACACAAAATAAAATGGCTAAGAATCTGAATTTCAGACAACAGAGAAAAATTTAAAAATTAAAATTATCCTTTCATGTTACATACCTGTTTGTAGACTCTTTTACTAGTGCTTTCTATATCTAGACCCTTACTGGCACAGCCAAGCAGTTTTGTAGGAATGCTGATGCTATGAGGATCATGACCTAATTCTTTCCATTTCCACAGTTCTTCTGCTGCATTATGTACAAGAATTTCTACTTCCTCTGTAGTATGTGGAACTGCCAATAGTGTTTCACATGGCTTCTGGGGAGCTCTTTTAGGTTCTGCCATTAAAGGTACAATTGTTTCTTCTGCCTTATTTTTGGGGATCTTGTGAGAAGAGCTCAAACCAAAGTCTTCATCAAACCAGTCTTGATCATCTCCTAACACGCTCAGGAACTCCCGGCTGATCTCAAGTTCAGCAAGTCTCTTCGCAAGTTCTTCCTGCCCACTGGCACCAAATACTGGACTCTCCTACAGAAATGGAACCATTCAAATAGAGCACCATTTAGTGACCTCAGATCACTCATTTGGGTTTTTTTTTTTTTTTAAAGACAAAGCAAATATATTATTTGTATATTTATTATTTCTCTATAAGCAAAACAAAAACAATATGGTGGCTACTAATAAACAATTAAAAAAAAACTACCCTGTTTCCCATAATTATGCTTATATAAGCATTAAAATTGAATTTTTACAAAATGTTTATTGATTAGTTGTTTCTTTTTGAATCATCATTATTTTGTTTCTGAGGTACTCTCTTGTCTGTGGGGTATGGAAATTGTATACAAAATTTCTCACCTTTTGTGATTATCTGGCTCAAGTTACTCAAAATCGTTACTTTTGTTCAACTGTCCATGGGCAACCTAAGTAAGCTGATGGTCTGAGTACATGTCATAGTGGATATATTTTTTTTTACCATAATCAACATCACAACTGGTAATATCTGCAGGGTAACTGAGTAGGTAGGTGGACAAATAATTTCATAGGCAAAAAAGGAACTGGATTGAGAACCACTGGAAAGCTCCATGGAATAAATCTGTTCAGTGAATCTGGAAGGGACTCTAACCTGTGGACAGCACACGAGGGCCATCAATCCAGCATAAAGCAGCTAGTATTTGTGACAACCCTATAGTGACCACTCATGACATAACAGAGGACAATTATACTTCAGACAGAAAAACAGTGACAAGGCCTTTAAAAACTAGTACAGTGATTTTTATCTAATAAATAACACGTCACAAAAAACCTACCAGGAGCTACAGAATTAAAATGCACTACAAAGATAAGGTTAATTGACATTCTGTCTAGATAAAATACTTACAGGTCTGGGGCATATATCTGGTGAAGAAATCTCTTCTTTTTCATCTTCCAATTCAGACCTTAAGAAGCAACCTGGAACACCTGATGATTGCTCCTCATGATTTGGGGATAGGGCTTGGGGCAGTACTTTCTTTTGATCATCATCAAGAAGCTCCTGATTGCTAAGCTGGATTTTCTCATTCCTAGCTTTTTTGATTTCCTGTAGTTGATTGACCGTGTCCTTCACAAAGACTGTTAGTAAACTGTCTGTCAGTAAGCTGACTTTTTCTAGCTGTTGCTTTGACTTTTTTCCCTCACTTTGTGATGACCTCAGCTGGGCTTCCAATTGGTTCTTTTCTCTTGTTAAAAGATCCAGAAGTGGAGTAGAAAGCTTTTCCGAGACCTCAGGATATAGGTTCTCTTCCTTTTCTGTAAACTGCTGTTGCTTCTTTAACTCTTCAGAAAAGTTATTATCTAAAGTATCGCCTTCTACAGCAATGGAAACCTTTTCTGTGGCACCAGAAACAAGGTCTTTGTTTTCCTTTGAACAGATCAGTGAATCCACCGAGGACTGCTGGTGAACATGGGCTTCAAGTACTCCAGAAATGTCCTGAATGTTGTCTGTTTCTATTTTAAGGCTTCTATCAAGTGAGGCTTCTATATCGTGCATACTAGGTAGAGAGTTCTCATAAAAATATTCAACTGCATCCTCTTCTCTATCAAACTTGGAATCTGTTCTATCTTTTTGTTCTTGATTATAGTATTGATACTGTCCATCTGAGTAAGACTCTTCATCTTCATTTATGTCTACACAGTCATCAAAGTTTTCTGGAATATGAGATATTTTTTGAGGAGGAGCAAAAATACCATGCTTCTCTTTGCACACAAAGTATACAATGCCATCATATGTTCCATTGTTATTTCCTTCAGCTTTATCCAACTCCACTCCAGCCCAAAATCCTTTAGCAAAACTAGTCACACCTTTGAATCGAAGAGTTCCTGGCTGAACATTGCCAATCAACACCCTATCACCAATGTGGAAATCATGTAACTCATCTGCCACAGAAACTGAAACCAAGGAAGGGGACTCCGTAACTCCCTGTTCATGCTCTACATCACTGCACTCCTTACTTTTCATAAGCTCAGTAGGGGACTTGAGTTCCAACAGCCTCTCAGAGTGGACACTGCTACGAACAGAAAGGCTTTTCTCACTGAGGCACTCACTGATTTCATCATCACTGCCAAAGCTAATGGCTCTACTTGTAGAGTTCCTGGTTGGCTGTGATTCGTCTCTGCAAGACTGAGAGTCTTTCCTGAGTGACAACAAAGATGACACCTCGAAGTCATCTTTGTATAATTCAGATGAAATGTCTTTCTTCAAAGAAGACACTTTAAAATCTTCAGAGTATGCTATCTCTTTAGGAGCAAAAAAATGTTCTAACAAAGACAAGTCCCTTTCCTTCATGTTCTTTTGTTCTTGAATGTCTTTTTCTGATTTGATGTTTGGACTATGATCTGTATCTTGATCTGACTCTTTCTCTTTCAACTCCTTTCTATGAAGATCTTCAATGGCTAATCTAACTAAGTCTTTCTGAACATTTACAGAATCTAAAGGAAGATCTTTCCTTGAAAGAATTTCAGATGAATCTCCCTGTTCCAGGTCTAGTTTCAGTAAGACGTCAGACTTCCTAGATTGTTTCGAATAGGCATCTTCAATCACACTCGCCTCCAGTTTTGTATAGTCTACTTCTTGTATTTCTGATTTTTGACTAGGGTCTTCTTCAACCTTGGCCTCTGACACATCCAGAATTCTATTAGGGGCATTCACTTCTTTGAGAAGAGGTAATGAAGGTACATTTTCTAGAGAATCTCCAGATTCTGCTCTGGTTCTCCTTGATGATCTAAGAATTGGAGATGAAGTCTGAAAATGCTCTTCTGTTTGTCTATCCAATTCAATCACTCTCTTTGCATATGCAGATAAAGACCTTTCTGATAATGATCTCTCAGAACTTGCCAGGGCAGCATCTTAAAGGAAAAGAAAAAAATCATTATCAAAATTATTTAATTACAATCTTTCAACTTCTAGAACCAAAGGCTAAATAAAAGCCAAATCTTTATGAGGAAAAACTTGGTCAATAACTATAACCTGTTTTGTTACCTTATAAGGTAAATTTTTCCTTTAAGAGAATATATTGTACCAACAATAACCAGAACATTTAGAATGACTGAAAATTTAAAGTTTGAAATAATTTCTTAAATGTTGTCTTAACTTATCAATTTCTTAAATGTCTTCACTTATAAATGAAGAAAAATGACTCTAAGTTTATGGAGACATTTGCATGATCATCCTCAAACCATGCAAAACCAGAACTGTACAATGGATATTACATACATATTTCATATAGAAAAACAATGAAGGAAGGACAAATATACTTCTATATATACTTTGATAAGAATGAATTTTCCTGGGGACTTCAACTAAGCTCTCAAATGTTAAAAAAAAAATACAAGAAAAAAGAAAACTGTTTCTGCAAATACAGCATTTTTAAAAAATGTATTTATTTGAGAGAGAGAGTGAGAGTGAGAGAACTCGAGTTGGGGGAGGGAGAGAGAGAGAGACAATCCTTAAGCAGACTCCCCGCTGAGCACACAGCCCAATGTGGGCCTCGATCCCAGGCACCCCAAATATAGCATTTTAAGAGCTAAAATTGCAGAAGAAAAAAAAGATGTGATGAGCTAACAAACCAAGAATTAAAAGTTTATTTTTTTTAAGAATTAAAAGTTTTTAATTCAAATCTCTATTTTGTCATTACTTGTAAGTAGGCTTTTTTATGCCTCAGTTTTATTTCCTCATTGAATTATACTTTATTTTCTGTAATTCTTACCATTTTTTGGATTAAGTTGAAAAAAATATATATGACCACTTAACCCTAAACAATAGTATAAGCTAAAAAATATATACTCAGTTATAAAATCTGATTAATGATGCCAATGATACACTCAACCATTTTAGATTAATGTCTTTATGCTTCATTTTTTATCATAAATTTGGGACAATAAAGACTTATTCAAAAAATTTATATATAACCAATAAATCACTTTAAAATATCAAAGTAACTGACAATTTCAATAATTATTATCTTTAAGAAATTTATTTTTTAATCAACAAGGTATAGAGGTAGAATTGTGCAGGCATTTGCATTAATCCTGTCTATGTAGACACAGAACAATTATTTTTTCTAGTTACATACCAATATGTTCAGCAATGGACTCCAATGATCCTCTGGAGCGTTCTGATTCTGTTAGTGATTTCCAGTTCTTTGCTGTTTCAGATCTGAAACAGAAAAATTAATGAGCAGAAATAAATGTACTGCTGATACTAAAGTAATTGGTAACAAAAAGCAGTCAAGTCTTAGACAACTACTTCTCCTTCACAGGTGGCACCCCACCCTGTCACTTTCATCAAGGCTATTTCTGGGCCTCATCACTCTCAGTAGATGATCTTGCTTCTTTTAGTGAGAAAACCAGAGACCATCAGCATGAACTTTCTTACCACCAAACCTTCCACCTACAAATATATCTATATTCATAGTCTTTCTTCCCGTCTGCAGGAAAGAAAAAGGGGTGTCTATTTGAACTTCTTTCTTCCTAAAAACTCACACAGTCCCACATTAATGGTGCTCCTCAGTTATACATTCTCTTTTCTATAATCTTTAGTCCTTCAACCTGGAGATTTTTTCCCCCTTAGCTTGTAAGTATGTTATGAGCCCCTCAGTTCGCTTCCACATCCTGCTGTTGTCCTCTTTTATTCATTACGTTAACAGGAAGAGTACATTCTTCATTTTCTTGCCTTCTCTTTATTTGTGAAGTCACAGTATTTGCCTTCTATTTCTCTCTTTATAATGCCTTTAAATACTATTTTATCATATTTAGTACTTGGCTCCCTTTTATTCTCTCTGAATGCATATCTTCTTTGGGTGATGCTGTTTTATTTGTGGTTTCAACCACCGTCTTTATGCTGATCATCCTCATATATCTCACCCTGACATCTTTCCTGGATAATTTCCCTTAGGTGAACTATGGGCATCTCACAATTAGTATTCTAAAACCAAAATCATAAGATCCCCACAAAAGAACATCCGATTTTCCATTTAGGTTAATGGAACTCTGACCCAACCAACTACTTAAGAGAAACCTGGGAGTCATTCTAGATTTCTCCTGCTTCACTATCTAGCACTTTGATTAGGCAAGTCTACTTCTTAAATATTTCTTTTTTAAGTATTTTTAAGGATAAATTCTTTTTTTTTTTTTTTTTTAAGTAAACTCTACCCCCAATGTGGGGCTCAAACTTGCGACCCTGAGATCAAGAGTTGCATGCTCTACTGACTGAGCTAGCCAGGCACCCCTACTTAAATATTTCTAAATTTATCTCCTATCTCTATTCTTATTACCACTGATTATTTGAGGCCTGGCTTAGACTCCTGTTCTCCCTGCTTCTAAGCTTACTCTTTTCTATCTTTCCTTCACAGAGTAGTCAGGAAGATCTCTCTGAACACAAGTGTGATTGCATCATTCTCTTGTTAAAATCTTCCAATAGCCTGGTTAATAAAACTATAAAGCCATTGAATAGTATATTATGTAGAAATCTAAAAATAAAATTTACAGTTTATAATATAGTGGAAAAATATACATAAAATCTAAGCATAAGAAATCCTAAAAAGAAATATTGTTGACATTTGCAATTTTGGGGTAGTTGGGTACATAATTTAAACTTTTCTTCTTTTTACTGTTTCCCTCAGTATTATAATAATAATAATAGTAATAAATAGTAACTAATACATAGTGCTAATTGTATGCTAAGCTCTGTTCTAAGTTAAGTCTTTTAACCCTCATAACAAGTTAATTAGTCAGGTGTTATCATAGGATATAAATCCCTATTAAAAAAACCTGAAGCACAGAGAGATTAAATAACTTGCCCAACAAAGTTAAGCAGCTAGCTGGTATTGAAACCAGGATTCAAACTCGGGTAATGTGAAATTAATTATAATAAGTCTACATTACTTTTGTAACAGACAAAAAAAAATCCCTAAATATTTTCTTTAAAAACCTTCAAAGGCTTCACCTCTTCTGAAAAGTAAGATAGAAACTACTAAGAATGAGTGAGTTCAAGGTTTCACAATTTGGTTTTTATTTTTCCAGTCTCTTCTAACTTTAGCGATGAACATCCTATTATGCTTAGTTTCTATGATATGCCAAGCTCCTTGGTGCTTTTGGTCATTCATGAATGCCCTTCTCTCTGAAATGCCCCCAATTTCTCAGTCCCACTGACTGTTTACCCCCTACTCACTGTTCAAAATCTATTTTAAATATTGCAACTTTTTTATACACTATCTTATATATTTGAATGTCATTACCTAATATCTTCTGTATTTGCCTGAACTGGCTGCATAATATTCTATCCCTGGAAAGAACCATAATTTATTGGACTAGTCACCCATTTTTGGACATAAAGATTGCTTCCAATGTGTTATATTAAGATAAAGGATGTTATGAGAAACATATTCATGCAAATTGAGACTTCTGGTAGCCCATATTTTCTCAAGCTAGGTTTCCAGAAGTGGAATTACTGAGTTGAAAGTTACAGATTGTTTTTTACTTTTGAAACACTGGCAAACTGCTTTTCAAAAGGTCTATATCAACTTACAATGCTACTATAGCAATACTGGTGGATACTATTTTCATTGCAACCACCAGATTTCAGAATTCAAAATATATTTTTAAATCTGTACCTTATTATACATTTGATTTGTGATTGTATCATACATAACAAATTACTTTAGTGAAAATAAAAATATTAACCAATATTTTTACTTCTACAATTTCACAATTACTTAAAAGATAGCTCTACTAAAAGTCTTTCCTTATGCTTTTCACAAACTTTTCTCAAACAAGGCAGAATATAGATAAGTTATCACAAATTTCTACCTGTGTAATGGAAGGGGCTTGATCTTGGGTTTTTCAGAAGCTGAGGAGAGCGTTTTAATCTGAGGCTTGGCTGTTGGTGATGTTTCCAAATCTCGGCTAAGCTCTGCTTCAGTTTTCTTAATGAATTCATCATATGACTAAGTTTAGAAAAATCAGAGGAGTCACTATACAGAATTTTTAAAAACTCTTTTAAATAAGAAAATAGTATATTTTACGGTAAAATATTCAAATAGTAAAGAAGATGTAATGTAAAAATCTTTCTCCCAGTACCAGTGTCATTCCCCAGAGTGCTATCAATAGTTATTCATAGATCCTTCTTGAAATAGTCTACGTATAAGCAAGATGTGTAACTATAACCCTAAATCAATTAGGAAATGACAGTCTCCACTCTACAAAAATTTAATGAAGCAATAATTCAGGCTCTGCCACATTAAGAAACTTTTTTAGCTGATCATGTAATTATTCTTTAAAGACTGTCCTAATACTTCCATGTTATTTTTAAGAAGTTTAGCCACGATGCTGACTTCAATGGCACCTTCTTGGGGATACTAGGGAATACAAATCCTGAGGAAGAAGGAAGGGTGTGGTTAAGGATATGATGATTTCAGAATTACAAAAAATGTTATCAGCCATTCTGTATCCATTATCACTAATATATAATTCTAATTTGGATGAAATCTAAGGGAAGCCCTTCATCTGTTATATTTTTTAATTTTCTGGCCTAAAATCCCACTTTTACATCATTATCTGAGACTACAGCTGTTCTGTTTAACACTGTATGTTCAATACCTACTCATGGCCCCAAATAGGGTGTCAATAAATATTAAGACTGAATGAATAAACATATGGATGCTACTCAATTGCTACAGATCCCTAAAACTTGGGCTAAAATCCCCACTTTTACAACTTTCACTATCCGTATTACCTTCCTCTGAATTCTGATCTGAAAGCTATACTTACATGAATGTAGTTGATTTATTACATCTGTGATTAAATAAAATCCAAAAGATTTTATATGAAATGCTCTATTTTATGTATTTCTCCATCATATACTATAATTCTAAAACCTAAATACAGAACTTTCTTTTGTCTGTAAACCATTTAATAAAATGTTGAATGACATGGATCCTATGGCACTTCTCTAGAGGTCTTTCTGGCTGGCATATCCATTAACGAACATTTTTGAGCAACGTTTTTCAATCTAAGCGTATTTCATTTAATTTTCAATGGCTCCTCATTACCTACACTAGTGCTTTTAAATCCTGGGCCCCATCCTAGACCAATTAATACCTCTGGGAGTGAGCCTGAATATTTGTATTTTTCAAAAAGCTCCTCAGTTAATTCTAATGTGTGGTGGTCAGGCTGAAGACTGCTGACTAGAAGTCCAAACTCATCAGTCTGATTCTAAGGTCCTGAACATGATCTTTATTTTTAAATAATTTAAATAAAGTTATTGTTTCCTAATACATTCCAACATGATCTTGCCAGTATGGTCATTCTACCTTAGCCACTTTTCCTACTTCCAAACATCTGTGCAAGTTATAATCCCTGTTCCCATCTCTGTATCATGTACCTGTGTAAATGTCTGTTTTCTCCACATCTGTTAACAGCCTCATTTTCTATGTGGAAGACAGTGCAGTATAATGGTAAGGGTACAAAATTTAGAATTAGAGATATATTAAAATCCTAGCTTTACCATTTATGACCTGTGTGTCCCTGAGTATCATTAATCTCCCTCAAACTCAGTTTCCTCATCTATAAGACAGGGACAGTAAAGCCATACCTTGTTGCTTGAGGATAAATGAAGAATATGTGTGAAGTAATTAGCTGAGTTCCTGGCATACAAATAGGCACCTAAATATCTGATGATTAAACTAATAAAGGTAGGAGGAACACATATTTGGTGTGACCACAACAAGGACCATTAAAAAGACAGAAATACTGGCTAAACATAACAAAAAGCTTTCTAACATTTAGAGAACCTAGAGCCCAACAATGAAACCAACTGCCTTGAAAATTTGAAATTTCCTATCAGTGGAAGTGTTCAGGTAGAAGCTGAATGAATGATCTTCTCTGGTGATGTCATGAGAAGGAATTCTTGTGAGGAGCAAGAAGTTTAGATCGAATCTATGATGAATGTAGCATTTTAGGAACACGAAGCTGGCAGAAGGTATGCAAGCAATAGGGAAGTAACCACAGACAGGGACATTCAAGTAGCTATGCAGAGAAGTCATGAGGCTCCAAACAGCGTGATGTCGGTTGGAATGGAAAATGACAAGCAAGAAGATTTATAAAGAAAAGAATCAATGGGATCTGGTGACCGAATGGATAGGTGAAAACAGAATAAGGAAGCTATCAAAACCAGGTTTCCAGCCTGGGGAAGAATCAGGGAAGGCTGCTAGAGCTTGGGAGAAGAGTCAAGTTTAGAATTATCATTTTGGAGCCCTTCAAATAGTACAAAGAGTCACATTAATAAACTATGTAGCAAGAAATATCAAAACAAATTGTTTTTAAAAAGGCAGTAACAATTCCAATAGCTAGAATTATTGATCTTTTTTAAAAATAGAATTATTTATCTAATGATTCTTTGCTTCAGAGGGCATGGCTATCAATCTTTCATAGGCTTAATCTTTCTTATTTAGAAAAAAGCCCTTTAATACTTGATTTTAATATTTACTTAATACTTGATATTATAAGATTATTTTAATATTTAATTTAATGTTTTAAGCAAGAGTTTGGTTAGATAGTCTCAGGTTTTTTAAAAAGAGGTTAAAATGTGGCACCAAACTAATACTGAAAAAATCTAATCCATTACTTTGTTAACAACATGAAAAACATTTTAGGCTTCACATATACATTAGCCTTGATACTGAACCCACTTCCTCCTATGTCTAACCTCTAACTGTTTGATCAGACTGGCTTCTTGGGCTTTCAATCTTTCCTTCTGCCGTTTTCTCTGTTCCTTCTTCAGCTGGTCCACAACTGATTTCCTTTTCCGCAGCTCATCCTTTAGGGCTCTGATCCTACCTTCAATGTCACTTTGGTCAGATGTTGTTTCTGAAAGAGATACAAAATCTCTTATTTAATTTTAACTTACTTTAACTTTAAATTTGGGGCACCTGGGTGGCTCAGTTGGTTAAGTGTCTGACTCTTGATTTTGGCTCAGGTCATGATCTTAGGGTCCTGGTATTGAGCCCTGCTTCAGGCTCCACACTCAGCAAGGAGTCTACTTGAGATTCTCTCTCTCTCCCCCTCTGTCCCAGCCCCCTTTCCTCCCTCTCTCTCTCTCAAATGAATAAATAAACCTTAAAAAAAAAGAATAGTTAATTCAATAACTATTAATTATATTATTAATGAAAAGCAGCAATGTGATATTAAACTTAAGGTCAATCTAACATTTAAAATTAAGGAATTTGAGCTTTGAAAAATTTTTTTTAGTGATTTACATTCCCCTTCCTGTCCCCTAAATCTCTATTAGGCGGAGCAGGGGGTCTCCTCCTATTTATTTTCACTTTCTAATTGTACTATTTGAAATTGCAAATAAATCTCAAGATACCCTGTCTTGGTGAGATAAGCAACTAGAAGTTGAAAAACTTTTAGGTTAGTAAAATTTGGACATTGTAAGGAATTATTTCCTGATGACAAGATAATCATATTTATCTGTCCTTCCCCTTAGTTGTTAATAGTTTTTAAGTCATATTAAAATCAAACTGAAATTCTGTCTGTTGTTTTTAAGGTAGGCTCCACGCCCAACATGAAGCCCACTGTGGGACCTGATCACAACCGTGAGATCAAGACCTGAGCTGAGATCAAGAGTAGGATACAGTTTAACTGAGTCACCCAGACACCCTGAAATTGTCATTTTATTTTTTTTAAAGATTTATTTATTTTAGAGAGAGAGTGTGTGTGTGTAAGCGGGGGGAGGGGCAGAGGGAGAGGGAGAGAGAGAATCCCAAGCAGACTCCCCCACTGAGTGCAGAGCCCAATCGCAGGGCTCGATCTCATGACCCTGAGATCATGACCTGAGTGAAAACCAGAAGTCTGACATTTAACCAACTGAGCCACCCAGGCGCCCTGAAATTTTGTCATTTTAAACTGACTGTGAATCATCAGATGATGTCTTAATACCACATAAAAGGAAAGAGAGAAATTAAAAAGAAATATCCTCTGCTGTAACCTTTCTTTAGAAGCTCTTAAAATATTTAAAATAACTGAAATGAAGCTAGTTAAATCTTAATTTCTTCCCAACAGCTCCCAAACACACAAAGTAGATGTCCAGTCATAGCAAAATCATGAAAAAGACATTTCATTATAATAAGTGCCACACACATGCTATGAAAATAGTATCATTTAAAGATGCCGCTTAGCTCAATCCTCTCGAGTCCCCTCCTTCCTCGGGAGCTTTGTACTATCACTTTGCCATTGCTCAATAAACCTTGCTTTGCTGCCCACCAATCAATCAATCCATCAATATAATATGCTGCTTATTTCACTACATATGGAAATTACATAGAATAAAAATGACTATTCCTCACACTTCGTCCTAAAATCACGCAATGGTATCATTTCCACACACTAATGTTGAGCGAGACATTTAATAGCAATAGAAATACTATTACAACAGAAATACTATAGTATATAGATCTGAAGACTCAGATGTACACTACAACATTATACCATAAATAACCAGGTGTTTTCCAGGTACTTCAGATTAAATTGCGTAAGAATTAGTTATGGAATTTATTTAAATGCAAAAGGATTATAGTCTTTTTTGATAGTGTGATCCAATATCTGGATTAGAAATAATGAAATCTAAGTTCCTGTCACTTCTATACCACTGACTTAAGATACTTCAGGAAAGTTACACCCATCTTATACCAGCGGTAGCATGATACTGAGCCTTTAGCATGGGCAAAGCTCACTATTTACTGATCAACACTCACAAGATAACGTAATAATAAAGGCCATTTTCAACTCTGGATCTTCTACTGGTAGTCAGTAAGGTGTCTGACCCCTACTGATTTCTAGAATTGATGGGAAGATTAAATAAGGTGAATAAAGCACACAGCACAGCACCTCAACTACCATAAAAGCTCAATAAAAGGTGGTAGGATTCATAATCACGTAAGACCAACATTTTATGTAGCTATATTTTAGGTAATATATTTTTTGGTCTAAAGCTAAAAATGGTGGTGGGTGGGGAGAGAGCAACTATCTATTTATTTTTTTAATTTCTGAAAAAATAATCAATTGATTTCAGGGTTAAAAGGTTCTGAACACTTAGTGGCAGGCTTTGTAGAGACTCGATGATTCTAGTATAACGATTCTGAGTAGGACTTCAGGCTGATCTAAAAATTAAAATCTTTCTAAAATGAAGTATAATCCCATACCTTTGCATCTTCTAAAACCGTGCTTCTTTAGCTTGATAAGCTTTTATGTGCTTCCAAAACCTGAGCCATTACTTTGATAAAATTATATACATGACGATTATACTCCTGCAGACTTAGTTTCAACTTTGCCCCCCTCCCAAAATGATTATTTTAAATTAATATATTTTGAAAATTGCATATACCAGCAGTGATTATTTTAATAAAAATATTCATCATCTACGGTTGTGAAGATTTAACAGTGGATGATGAAAAACTTGGGAGTTTTTAGATGAAAGACCTTGGAAAATGTTTCTACTTTTGAGTACTAAAGAAACCAAAAGTATACAAATGAAGGGTAGAAATTAAGTAAAAGTCTATGAGAGTGAATGGGACTTTATATCTGATATATTTAATCTGATCAATTATAGTATTATTGAATAGTACTTATCATTAGTAACATCTAAAAGAATCTCTAGATGAATTTATTGCCTTTATGGAATTCTCTCCTACAGGGATTTTTTGAGTAGTGGGGGAGAAAGGGGGGACAGATAAATGATACTTCGATTTTTTTAAACACATCAAGATGGACAGAATAATCAAAAAATTAAGTTTCTGATTATGTGACACATGTGGCCTATATTAATTTGGCTGGTAAACTCTCCATCACTTAAGTGAGAAAGGCATTATATAACTCCACTACATTAAAACTGACGACAAACACTGCATATATGATGTCATCATTAATAGGTAGATGACATCTATAGTTTAAAAATCTCAGAGCTATTTCTCTAAAACTATTCTTACTTGAATTATATTTTATCAATAAAACAGTATCTTATTAACATTATCATTAATCCTTGGTCTGTAACTCATGCAAGGATGGTTACAATATTATTCCATGGAACAGATGGAAAAGATTATTCAATATGGGAAAGAAACTTGGAGAAAGTCACTAGTGAGTAAGAGAGACAAGATAAGAATTCATGTTTCCAAGTATCAAGTTTATGTCTATTGACATGTTACTCCACTGGCTGTAACTTTTCACCAGAGTACGTGAAAACAAATATATAAAATAATAATTTTCAACAAATAAATATGGTAGACAACATTCTTCAACTGGGTTGACCTAGTAATTCCATTTCTAAGAATTTATTCTTACTGAAATATTCATCAAGAATATATACATGAAGATGTTCACTAGAGCATTATTGGCTATTTGAGAAAATCTAAATGATCATCACTAGGGAAATGGTTAAATTAAAGTTATGGTATATCTACTCTTTGAAATATTATGCAGTTATTCAAAGAAAAAGAGTGATTTATAAATACGGGTGAGACAAATAATAAGAGACTCTTAATCTCAGGAAACAAACTGAGGGTTGCTGGAGTGGAGGGGGTTGGGAGGGACAGGGTGGCTGGGTGATAGACATGTGCTATGGTGAGCGCTGTGAACTGCGTAAGACTGATGAATCATAGACCTGTACCCCTGAAACAAATAATACAAATTATATGTTAGTAAAAAATAAAATAAATATGGGTGTGGGAAAATCCCATGATTTACTATCGTTTGAAACACTGAAAACAGGGGGTACAGAAAAGGATCAAAGACCAAAATATGAATAATATTTTTCACTTTTTTTCTATTAAATTTCTACTCTCAAATGCAAACTAAAAATGAGCTCAAAAGGCATACACTCAATACAGTATTAATTATCCGTGGAGTCCCACATAAACTGAGCACTCCCTATACAGGTATATTTCCCAAGATCAAATCTTGTAGATTGAAGTCTTATAGAATAGAGGCTGTTCATTCTTTCATACTTTAATAGCACAGAGTTTTATAGTAGCATAGAGATTACAGGAAAATAGACAATGTCCCCCACTGCCATTTGCAGTCTATTCTCTACCTTTCCTCCTTTGAAACTTACACTATCTTGCACTACCTCTTCCTATCTCTCCTCATGGTCATCATTAATTCATTCAAGAAACATTTAATAAATACCTGCCATTTGCAATGCAAAGTACCTGCGAGGTTCTGGTGCCACAGCTGTTAACAAGGTACAGACACTCCTTTCCAGGAGTCTACATGCTAGTAAGGGAGACCCACTGGGTAAAGTCTGGTTACAATTTATATGCTGTCTGGTATAACAAGCTGAAGCACAGAGCACTATGGGAACACATAAGCAGTATCTGGCACAAAGAAAAAAAATTCAACAAATGTCTGATAAATAAAAGACTGCCCATTAGCAACCCAAGAATATAACCGTTTGTCATATTTTGTATAATAAGGGAAATAATTATCAATGAAAAGCAATGAAATGTGATTTAATCTTGGCAAGCAAAAAGCCTTTACAAATGCAACAAAGGATAACATTATACTAACAGATGGATAGACAAAGCTTATTAAAGAGGAATTCAAATATAATACAAAGAAAACTAACTCCTTGTTATTAGTCTTACCTGACTGTGTCATAGATAATGACTCATCAGACCAACTGTAACAGTGTTGATGGGATTTGACAGGTAGACGATACTGTCCTCCAGTCCTATGACTTCCTTTGCTAGACTCCTGCTTTGACATGGATGTGCAGCTTTTGGGAGGTGACTGTTCAAACAGAAAACCAAGTGGGAATGGTTTTGTGATACATTTGTAAAATCTATTTAACATTTGAGATACCAAGCGTTAAAGATAATATTTACGAAGAGTTTTAAGTAACTCTGTGACATGAAAAGTAAAAACAGTACAAATTATACAAAGGATAAGACCTCAACTTTTTTTTAAAGTTACAGAAAAAAACTTATAAAGAAGCATGCTTTTTAAAAATGTTTATAATAGGGGCGCCTGGGTGGCTCAGTCGTTAAGCATCTGCCTTCAGCTCAAGTCATGATCCCAGGGTCCTGGGATCGAGCCCCGCATTGGGCTCCCTGCTCGGCGGGGAGTCTGCTTCTCCCTCTCCCTCTCCCCCTGCTTGTGTTCCCTCTCTTGCTGTGTCTCTCTCTGTCAAATAAATAAATAAAAGTCTTTAAAGAAATAAAAATAAAAAAATAATGTTTATAATAAAGTAGGAGTAGCTATTGTTTAAGTGATATTTACCCTCTTATTTTTTTTAATTAAAAAAATTCTATACATGGTGCAGGTATCTTTTCAACATAGTAATTTAATTTCCTTCAGATATACACCCAGAACTGGAGTTGCTGGATCATATGGTAGTTCTCCACTGAAAGATAAATGGATAAAGAAAATGTGGTGTATGTACCCATGTGCATGTGTGTGCACACACACACGTGGGAATACTATTCAGCCATAAAGAAGGAAGGAAATCCTGCCATTTGCAACATGGATAGACCTTGAGGGCACTGTGCTAGGAGAAATAAGTCAGACAGAGAAAGACAAATACTGTATGATCTCACTTATATGTAGAATCTAAAAAAAAAAAAAACAAAAAACCAAAGTCACAGAAAAAGAGATCACATTTGTGGTTACCACAGGTGGGGGGAATTGGGTGAAGGTGGGCAAAGGTACAAACTTCCAGTTATAAGATACATAAGTCCTAGGGATGTAATGTACAATGTGATGACTATAGTTAACATCGCTGTATGGTACATGTGAAAATTGCTAAGAGAGGAGCATAAACATTCTCATTATAAAGAAAAAGACTTTTTTTGGTTACTTTATGAAGTGAGGGATTTCAATTAAACTTACTGTAATAAGTATTTCACAATATATACATGTCAAGCCATTATGCTGTACACCTTAAACTTCTATAGTGCTGTGTATCAATTATATCTCAATAAAACTGAAAAAAGAAACTTTAAAAATACTAAAAATGTACTAGTTTTGTGGAAAGAAGGAAAAAAGAGAGGCAAGAGGAAGGGAAGAAAAGGGAACATAAGAAGACTGTCCACAAGAGAGTATTTACAAAGGACATAATTTCTACCCTGACATCAGGTGGAAGTGAGAATGCCTACTTTGATATCTAGCTATCATTACTTCTTATATCTGTGAATTTGGGCAAGTTTCCTAGCCTGCAGATCTTCAGAGTGGGGCTTAACACAGTATCTATAGAATTGTTGTGAGGATAATCCACATAAGGCATTGAGCATGATTAGCTGACACTTGGTAAGTAAGCACTCAATAAATATTAGTTTTTTATTATAAAAGCCACTTTAAGACACACTAGTTTTATTTCTTTGACATATTTTCTTGTGAGGAAAAAAACTAATTTTTAGAGTTTGATCAGGTGATGGCTATTCTGAATCTCAATGCTAGGTATGATCTAATCAATTCACAGGAAGTAATAATAAGATTGTGTCAAAAAACACATAGTTTGGTTGTAAATTCCATGCTACAATTATATATACAAGCCTATTTTCACATAATAACTAAGAATTTGCTAACATAATTTAATTAGAAGCCTTTTATAATCTAAAACCTCTGTTTTCAGGTATGCGCCCAAGGCATTGGAATATTTTGCAACACAGCACAGAACAGATTCTTCATTAGATCATTGTTTAAAAAATGTTTTCCCCCCAAATCTTTCAGGTGCCATAACACACATGAATCTGACTGATTTTTCAATAGGGGAAATGCAATTCATTCTTCATATCCACAATAAAATACTCTACCAAAGCATATTCCATTCTGAATTTAAGGATATTCCTTTTTTTAGACATAGACTTTAACAAAGTTTCTGTTCACATAATATTTAATAATATTATGCTAACTCCTTTATATACTTTGTAAAATCTAATTTAAAAAGAAAAACAGTTAAGTTTCTAGCTTAAGTTTTTATCAGATAGGTTTTTTTTAATAAAGTACAGAATTAAGGACAATGTGGAAAACCTTATTCTAATAGTGACCATTATACTAATTTAGAGTCAATAACCATTTCAGATCTACTTTAAAGAGATGAAACCACTATTTTTATTCTGATTTATAAGGGCAGTTATTAACTAAATTATAGATAGCCACAATGGTATTACAGTTTAAGATCTTGTTTCTATTATATGACAGAATACAGATTTTAATAAGAACTTGTATTATTCTTACATATTATCTTTAAATTAAACTTCAATTATCTTTTTTTTAAAGTTTTATTTATTTAAGTAATCTCTACACCCTACGTGGGGCTCGAACTCATGACCCTGAGATCAAGAGTCACGTGTTCTAATGCTGAGCGAGCCAGATGCCCCAACCTTAAATTATCTTTTAAAGATCTCAGAAGTTCCTGGGGCACTTGGGTGGCTCAGTCGGTTAAGCGTCTGCCTTTGGCTCAGGTCGTGATTCCAGGGTCCTGGGATGGAGCCCCATGTCAGGCTCCCTGCTCAGTGGGGATCTGCTTCTCCCTCTCCCTCTACTGCTCCCCACCCCCTGCTTATGCTCTCTCTCTCTCTCACTGTCAGATAAATAAGTAAATATCTTAAAGGATTTTAGAAGTTCCTATTCCCTCATATTAAGAGACTTAATAATATATAATTTTATAACTGCCACTAAAGCTAAAATTCATATACTCATAAATCTTTAGAATTCAATGAAAATCTTCACTCCTGTTCAAATGTCATATACTGTATGTTACAGGTATGGGCGATAGTCAACACTGTCATGAACTACAAGAATATAATGCTAAAAAAAAGAAAAGAAAACAACTGTTAATAATATACCTTTTAGATAGGCTTTTGTCCAAAGAAGTTTTAAGGGATAAATAGGTATTAACTTACATGTTTACTAGGAGAGGTAGAAGATTCCAGTTCTTGTGAAAAAACCATTTCTTCAGTAAGTACACTATGATCTGGACTCCCTGGCTGCTCCTGAGCTATAGACTCAGATGGTATATATCCAACAGCAGGGCTGCCCAATTCTTCTGGAATAGAGCTTTCACTGTGTAGGTGAGAGTAAGAAGGTAGTGGAGACTCTGCTTCACTTGCTATTTCTACAGAAAGAGTAAAAACAAGAAAAAGTCCACAATCTTGGTCAAAAGAAATGTTCAACTGTTACACTTTACATTTGCTTTTGCATAATTTCAATTGTTGCATTTAGATATAATTTTTAATCCCATCACTTAATGAATCACATTACTATAAAGTCTGTTAGTCTAAGAATTTTGGCTGATGCAAACAGAGAAGGGCTTAGTTTGAAAGGAGAGGAATTGTTTTACATTTTAAAAATATCTTTAATGTCTGGCTTAACAGAAGACAGTTGGATTCTCATATCTGCTTCTGTCTGCAATCTGTGGCTTTATGTTGTTTTGGATGAAGCACATACTGAAAATCTGGCCTCACAAAGAATATATGTAGTTAGAAAGGAAAGAGTATTCCAATAGTCTTTACAGATAATTGTGGATATTCTTTTTTGATGTTACACCAAAACTTGACAATCGGTAGTTTCTTACATGTTAGCTGTAATGTGGAATTTGAAGTCATATCAATAAACTTTTTGTGATCTGTTACATTACAATCCTTTGGTCAATGGATTTTTTTACTCATGCATGATTTTCTAAATCATCACCGGTCATTTGGAAAACACTGGTTCACTGCGTTATGAAGATCTTCCCAATGTTGACATATTTCATCATACAATATGAAAAGAGAATTCTGGGCCGAATCTCGGACTTCTAGACGCCGAGCTGCTCTGCAAGTAACCATGGCGCGTGGAAGCCAGAGCCGCACCTCTGGCCAGCCGGGCACCTCAGATGAGAGCTGCGCCTAGACCAGCGCCAGCAGTGGCTCCATCAGCTGCTGTTGGCTCACCTGCTGCTGTGCCCCGGCGGCCAGGTCTCATGGCCCAGATGGCAACCGCTGCAGCTGGCGTGGCTGTGGGCTCTGCTGTTGGGCACCAGATAGATCGTGCCATCATCAGGGGCTTCGGTGGAGGAAGTAATGCTGAGCCTTCAAGGCCTGACATCACTTACCAGGAGCCTCAGGGAACCCAGCCAGCGTACCTGCAGCAGCAGCAGCAGACTGGACCATGCCACTAGGAGATGAAACAGTTTCTGGAGTGTGCCCAGAACCAGGGTGACCTGAAGCTTTGTGAAGGTTTCAGCGAGGTGCTGAAACAGTGCAGATGGGCAAAAGGATTAGCCTAATCAAGAAGTTCAAACTGAAGATATGGAAAATCATCTCTCATGACCAGGTTAATTTAGCATAAAAATATATTTAATAGTGAATATATAAAGTATAAAACCACCAGTTAAACCTCTGCTTCATCATTAAATACAGCTTTCTTCAGAACTGGAATGAAAAAGGGTGTTCTTACTATAAAGAAGTTCATCGAGATGGTCTGAATTTGGGGCTGGGCAGATGTTTGTGTGCCTCCTTAAATCACCTTTTGTGATGTTCTCATTTGTGAATTAATTAGAATAGTGATTTTCTCCCTGCCCCCTCCCACCCAAAAAAAAGACGATTCTGATTAATATCATCACCTATCATATCAGGAAAGTCTTTTAAGTATTAGAAAGCGGTCCAGCTCACAATGGGGAAAACAGCATTTCTAAAATCCTAAACTTTCACTTGAAACCTTAAATTTTATCCCTCACAATAAATACTGTCACTTGTTCTCCTTCAAGAGTCAGAGTTGCTTCATTTATTTCTGAAAAACTGTTTGCCAAATACTTAAGTATAAGTAACCATGGTTTTTAGTCATTTAAGTAAAAATGGTACTCCATAAAAAAAATGGCTAATTCAGCTTACAATTCAAATCACTGCATTAAGTGCTTTTCTTCAAGGCAACCACTGTCCTTAGGCACATGCAAGTGCTTTATGCATTATTTCCTATTTTGTCACACAAAATATTAAAAAGATATACACTCAAAGGTTGAGAGTCAACAAAATTCGTATTTGTAAGTGCTTATTTAAGGACATTCTTACATAAAACTGGCATGTTATCATTAGTGCAAAGTGGTGAGGAACACAACGACTACTAACACAGTTTGGCACCACTGCCTAGATTCAAGCTAAGGCTTCAGCAATTTTACCCACCATTATATTTGCTACATCAGTGTAATGTCAACACAGTGAAAAAGGCAAACAACGTTAGTATTATTATAAAAACAATTTTGACCTCCCAGACCCCCTGAAAGGATCTCAGAGACTCCCCCAGGGTTTCATGGGCCATACTTTAAGAATCACTGCTCTAGGATTCATACCTGGGATTGGAACCACTGAATTGCAGGGTATGTGTACCTCACTTTTATTCTTTTAATTTTTTATTTTTATTTATTTATTTTGAGAGCGAGCGAGCATGAGCATAAGAGGGGGAGGGGCAGAGAGAGAATCTTAAGCAGGCTCCACAGCCAGTGTAGAGCCCGATGTATGGCTCGATCTTATGACCCTGAGATCATGACCTGAGCCAAAATCAAAATCAACCGACTGAGGCACCCAGGTGGCCCTTGATTATTTTTAATGCCTCTTTTTTCAACCTGTTTTTCAAACTAGGTTTAACAATTAATATACCAGCAGTTCCTTGTTCTACCTACATACCAACAGGTTTGAAGGGTATTGTGAAAGGGCTGAATGATGGCCCTAAAAAAGATATGTCCGTGTCTTAACCCCCAGAACCTATGAATGTAATCTTATTTTGAAAAAATTTCCTTGCAGATGTAATTAAGGATCTCATGATGAGCGGTGCCTGGGTGGCTCAGTTGGTTAGGTGTCTGACTCTTGATTTTGGCTCAGGTCATGATCTCAGGGTTGTGGGATTGACCCCCGCACTGGGCTCTGTGCTTAGCTCAGAGTTGGCTTGGGATTCTCCCTCTGGAACACCCCCACCCTCACCCCCACCACCTCCTACTCACAAGCTTGTGTGCGCACGTATTCTCTCTCTCTGAAATAAATAAAATCGTTTTAAAAACAATGAAAGGGGGTGCCTGGGTGGCTCAGTTGGTTAAGTGACTGCCTTTGGCTCAGGTCATGATCCCAAAATCCTGGGACTGAGTCCCACGTTGGGATCCTGGCTCAGCGGGGAGCCTGCTTCTCCCTCTGACCCTCTCCCCTCTCATGCTGTTTCTCTCTCTCTCTCTCTCTCTCTCTTAAATAAATAAATAAATAAAATCTTAAGAAAAAAAAATGAATCACAGACCTATACCTCTGAAACAAATAATACATTATATGTTA